GTGTGTCTGTGTGTATATATGTGTGTGTGCATGTGTGTGTCTGTGCATGTGTATGTGTGTGTCTGTGTGTATATATGTGTGTGTGCATGTGTGTGTCTGTGCATGTGTATGTGTGTGTCTGTGTGTGTATATGTGCATGTATATATGTGTATGTGTGCATGCATGTCTCTGTATGTCTGTCTTTGTGTGTATATTGTGAATGCATGCGTATATATGTCTGTGCATGTGTGTGTGCATTTGTGTGTGTAGTAGCATCTGACTATGATGCCCACAAGGTGAGCACTGGCTCCACTATCCCAACCACTTCCTTCCACACCAGCCCCTCCAGGCAGTGCAGCCCATAGACTCAGGCTGAGGAAGCCTTCTAGAATGTTCCCACAAGCAGAACGAAAGCGAGCATGAGCAGGAAGCCAGGGTTAGGATTTGTGGCAGCCACTGATGTCAATGCAACTCCACCCTGGACTGTCTGCACAACCCACTGAGATCCCCAACTATGTGGCAGTCTGAGAGATAAGAGCAAAAGAGTTGAGTCAGCCTGGGGCTCAAATGCTTTGAAATTACTCCAGATTTCCTTCCAGGCATGGGGTGCAGCCTGCGAGCCCACTCTCTAGAGGCTGGGATACATTGAAGTCCCTATATGAATACAAGGAGCCACCGCCTCTGGGGCTAAGTGACCCCAGGGAGCCCTGAGCACCCCCAATCAAGGCCAGCATCTGCCCCCTGCTGGCCCATGGTGAATCCCTGGACTGAGCCACAGCCCACTGGCTCTCCCATTACTTGCAGCCAAATGCACTGTGGCATGTCCTCATTCCTTGGGACTATAGCCTGCTTGATCACAACACACACAGGGACAGACTGAGTTCTGGAGCACAGAGACCTGTCTCTGGAGTCACACCGTGTAACCTTGGGTTCTCAAGCTCACCTGGGGCTCCTGCCTTTTGGTTTTGTGTCTTCCTTCAGGCTTCTGTGGCTCAGCCTTCAGCTGCTCTGTAACTCAGGCACTTCCGGTAGGAGGCGGCACCGACCTTTCCCCAGCTCTCCCTGTCTCTGTGTCAATAGCCCAAGGCCACTGTCCCAGCTTTGGGACCCGAATAGCTCCCCACATCCTTTGATGGAGAAGATGACCAAATGTATCTGATGCTCTAGGGGAGGAGTGAGTCACAGTCACAGAGCTGGGGTCACTATCAGGAGTCTGCTATCTCGCTGGATTCCCTTGCTCGGTGTCCTGCCCCCCCAGGCTTCTGAAGGCCCTGACTCAGCGGCTTGTGGTCAGAGCTGACACTCAGGGTCCTTTTCGGTTCATCTTGTGCCCAGCTGTTAATTAGGTGTAGTTGATTTCCTGCCTCTGTCCATGTTGTCTCCACTATTTTTAGCATGGAATAATAAATATTGAAGATGCCATGATTGTGGCAGAGAAAGCTGTTAGCATTTACTATGTGCTGAGTACTTTAAATGTTGTTGGTTTTGGTTTGGTTTTTTGTTTGTTTGTTTGTTTGTTTGTTTTCTTGAAAATGATGTCCGTTTTTAGACAGAAAACTAAGGTCTGGGGCTGGGGCGGCTGGTAGAGTCCTTGCTATTGTCCCCAAAGTCCCAGGTACCCAGGATCACATAAAACTCAGCATGATCAAGTGTGCCTGTGATCCCAGCACTCAGGGGGCTGAGGTAGGAAGACCAAGAGTTGAGGACCATCCTCAGCTGTGGAACAGACTGGTTTCCATGGGACACTGCCTCAAGACCAAACAACGAAACCAAAGGCTTGGAAAAGTGAACTCGTTTGGCCCTGGGGTCTGCCTCTGAAGCACAAGACCCTCCCTAGGATGCTACCTGAACCAAGGCTGCCAGGGTAGGGGTTACTGCGACTGCTACTGTTTACTTAAGAGCCATCTGGAGCTTGGAGATGGAGAGTGTGTGGCGCCTCAAGGTTGCTGTACAGGACCCAGACTCATCAGCAACTGGTCCTCATGTCACAGATGGCTGCCAACGCTCACTCTTCACCTCTTCACCCAACCATAGCCAAAGCAGGAAGAGAGGAAAGGGAGCAACCGGCCGCTCCTCATTTGCCTTTCTTATCTGAAAGGAAACACTTTCCCAGAAGTCTCCAGCACTGTATGTTCTTAGCCAGAAATGGGTCACAGGACCACCCTGGACCAATCCCAGGCCCAGGAAGATGGGCTTGCTATAGTGGACTTAAATCAATCGCACTTTCTTCCCTAGAGCCGGGCCCATGGCCAGCTGGAGAAGTTAGCATCAGTCAGCTGGCGGGAAGGAAGGGCAGCTGGCAGGCCTGTCCCCAGCGCCACCGACTCCAGCTTTCCAAAGGTACCTGGGGATGGTCAGGGTGTGTGTTGGGGGGAGTGTGGGGTGGTAGTGAGGAGAAGTGTTAGTGTAGGGGGGTGGGAGTGTGGAGCTGTGGGAGGGTTGGGAGTGGGGTTGGGGGTGTGGGGGATTTGATGCTTTGGGAAGCGTTGGTGTGGGGATGTGGACACCTCCTTGCTGGGCTGGCAGTAGAGCTTAGCCCCTTCTGCTATGTCACCTCTGGCTTAATTAATTTAGGATTTTATGGCCTCTCCCTACTTCTCATGAGGTGCCACCACACAGGGTGCTAAAGAGTCAGGGTGCCCATCTAGTTCATAGGCTACTGGAGATTTCATGTCCCTGTAGGAATTTTCAAAGTTCCCCCAAAATGAAATCTTTCCATTTTCACAAATGTTATATATCTCATCGTAAGAACTTCATTAGCTGATCATGCTAATGATCATGCCTGCAGTCCCTGCGCTTGAGAAGCTGAAGCAGGAGTATTGCCACAAGTTCTGGGTCAGCCTGAGCTACATAGCAGACTGTCTCAGAAAACATTATAGCTAAATGTGGTGGTATAGCCTTGGGTTCCAGCTCTTGGGAGGCAGAGGTAGGTGGATCTCTAAGAGCTTAAGGACAGCCTGGTCTACACAGTGAGTTCCAGGACTACACAGTGAGACCCTGTCTCAAAAGGAGGGACAGCTGGAGACAAGCTCAGCAGTTAAGAGCCCGTATTTTTCTTTCAGAGAATCCAAGTGTGATTTCCAGCACCCATGTCTGGCAGCTTACAGCTGCCTGGAACTTGATCACTTCTGGCTCTCTCTCTCTCTCTCTCTCTCTCTCTCTCTCTCTCTCTCTCTCACACACACACACACACACACACACACACACACACATACACACGCACACACGCACTCATGCACGTACATACACATGATTAAAAATAAAAACCTTTTTAAAAATTATATAGGGGCTGGGGATGTACTTCAATTGGTAGAGAACTTACCTGGTATGTGCAAAGTTCTGGGTTCGATCCGCACTATCACCTAGGAAATTAAGTAAATGGGTAAACACTGAAGGGACAGAGGGAGGGGCTCGGGGGCTGTGGGAGGCAGAACAGCCTCACCATTTCTGTTCCTTGTCTCAGTCCCAGGAGAAGCAATGTCCAGGTGACTTCTGGCCTCTGCTGCAGAGCAGAGAAGTGGTCAGCCTCCTGGGGCAACAGCCATGAAGATCCTTTGCAAGCACTGTGAGCAAGTGGGCAGCCTTGTGCCCACTGGAGCAGCAAGTGCAGATTGTAAAAGTCAACCTTGATTTTAGAATCAAAGAGTTTCACACAGGGATGGGGCTCTGCCTCCCTGGAAACTGCCCACGTGCATGTGTGTTCACAAATAAACTAAAATGTTTTCTCTTCTGCTGCTCCTGTTCCCAGAGGCTGGTCTCCCCCCATTCTCTCCCTCCTTTTCCCATTCTCTTTCCCTTAATAACCCCACCACGCCATGTGAGCTCTGTCATGGCATCTTTCTCTCTTTTTAAATTACAACAGTCACCTCTCAGATTAAAGCCTTCCATCCTGGAAGGGAGTCCTTAAGCAGGGTGGTAACAAAAAGGTTGCTTCAAGGAGTCCCTGAAACTTGGCCTCGTGGCAATAGTAGAGCACACCTTTAATCCCAGCACTCAGGAGGTAGAGGCAGGTAGATCTCTGTGAGTTCGAGGCCAGCCTGGTCTATAGAGCAAGTTCAGGACAGCCTCCAATGCCACAGAGAAACTCTGTCTGGAAAAAAACAAAATGAAACAAAAAAACAGAAAACCTCCCTGAAACTCAACAGATTCACTAGTTTCCTCCCAGCTGGAGTAGACAAAGAAGACTGTCAGACCATCCGAGCTGCTAGAAGAGCTTTAGACCAACTGGGGCACTCGGAAAGGACACTCTCCAACCTGTGGCGCTGCCTGCAGGCTGTGCAGTGTGCTCCAGGCTCCCAGCTTTGTGAGCTGTCACCCATGCTGGGGCGGGCTTTGGTGATGCAGCTGTCTTTGAGTCATTTCTGCTCCTGTGAGTAACCCCTCACCCATATTCCTGTAAGTAGCCCCAATAAAGCCCATTGGCTCACCAGGTTAGATTTTGGGGATATCCATACTTTGGCCTATCTTGGGTTCCCTCTGTGTATGTTACATCTCCCTAGGAAAGGTTTGCTCACACAACAGGTCTCCACTGCAGCTGGGCTGCACCTTCATCAACAGCCTATCTTGGGCTGTCCTCAGGGACTGTATCCTACCACTTGGTATCCGGCCTCAGCATCTTCCCATGATCCCTTCAATCACAGGGATTCCACTTTTAGAATCTATGCCTTTACCAGGGGCCTCTGCAAGCCTCTCTTGAGGGACCCCTGCTCTGCCACACAGTGTTGCACCTAATGACTCTAAAACTAGTGCAACCAGAAAAATTCTTACACATTACCAAGAGTCAGCATGAGGTACAACCTGGGCCCATCTGAACCACAGCTTTTGTGTGCTGGCCCTAAGGAAACACTTCCCAGAAGATTTTGCCTTAAAGATGCCCGTCTCTTAAGTGTGGCTAATCTCTCAGCTCCATCGGACCAGCATCATTTGTCCCAGCAAAGTAAAGCTTTTGCTTTAACGGTCTCTTGTTCATCACAGCTGATTCTTCAGCCCCAGCTGATCAAAAACACAGATTCACAATTCAAAATCACATAAATGGCCCTGAAGTTCCCTATGAAACTCCACAAGCCCGGCCTCCATTATCTCAAGACTCTTCTCTTCCAAGCTGCCACAAAACAGCCTACTGAGCTCTGAGCACTCAACAGCTTTTCCAGCCTAGAGTTCAGATACCACCATGATCCTTCCCGAAATACAGTCAGATCTGTCATAGTAAAACCCAACTCCTGGTCCAATCGTCTTAGTTAGGGTTTCTATTGCTATGATGAAACAATATAACCTGCAGTAGAATATTAGTTTAAGATGTGTTACATTGTTTATGCTGTGGAATGTTTGTTTAATGATGCAAAGATGTGTTAAATTCTTTAATGTTGCATTTGTTTAACTCTGTAAAATTTTGTTGCTTTGCCTGCCTAAAACACCTGATTGGTTTAATAAAGAGCTTCCACCAGAAACACTAGACTCATTAAGTCTCTGATGTTGGATTAAGTTTTGGTTTTTATGTTCTCGGAAACCCCTTACAGTTGCTCAATCTTTCAGCAACTGTTTAAACAGGGGGTAGGTTGGGGCTGGGGAGTGGCTAGACCAGCAAGCGTCTCTTCCTGAGCGTGGGTCCCAATGACCTAACCACTTTCCCCTAGACCCCCGACTCTTAAGGTCCCACAACCTCCATCCTTGCAGCCTGGAGATCAGGCTCCTTGATGTCTGTGTGTCTGTCCATTAACACGGAGAAATGCAGGTGTCTGCTTTGCTTATGACTGCTCCCAGAGTCTAAAACTTGGTCTAGAGCAAAGAAGAGCCTCAGGAAAGCTTTTTGAAAGGGAGGGAGTGTCCCCACAACAGTAAAGTGGCTGTTGTGCAAACCTGAGTTCAATCCCCCAGGACCTATGCTTGATAGTATATGGTTGTGGGCACTTGCCATCCCAGTGCTGGGGGAGGAGTGGAGGCAGGAGGATCCCAGGGTCTTTCAAGCCAACCAGTCTGCCTAATAGGCAACCCCAGGTTCAGTGAGAGGCCCTATCTCAAAAACTGTGAAGGGCTGGGCATGGTGGCACATCCTTTAATCCCAGGAGGCAGAGGCAGGCAGGTCTCGGTGAGTTCAAGGCCAGCCTGGTCTACAGAGTGAGTTCCAGGACAGCCACCATAAAACCCTGTCTGAATCTATTTATGGCTTTGCTTGTTTTGTTTTGTTTTTTTCTTTGTTTGGTTGGTTGGTTTTTGGCTTTTCAAGACAGGGTCTCTCTGTGTAGTCCTGGCTGTCCTGGAACTCACTTTGCAGACCAGGCTGCCCCTGGGCTTCCTGCCTCTGCTTCCCCAGTGCTGGGATTAAAGACCATCGCCAGTGTTATTAGGTGAAGAACAATTGAGTCTGACACCTGAAGCCAATCTGCATCAACATACACACACGTGCAGACACGTGCAGACACACGCACACATGTGCGGACACGTACACATCCCCCAAAACTGCAGGAGGGGGCATTCTTAGCCATCCCAAACAGACCAGGGACACCTGGTCCATGTGGCTTGTGTCTAGTGTGTCCCTCCTGTATACAGTACTGACCCTATCACTATCCAGAGTTGTCCCCCAGGTCCAAGCAGTCACAGCAAAGGGCCCTGAGCATTAGACTCAGCCTGCTGCAAGTGGTGTGGCCTGAAGGGCAAGAGGGAGCCAGGCGCACCTGTGAGCCCCACACGCAGAACTGCTGGGTTTGAGGTTAGCCTAGGAGAAGGAGGGAGGGAGGGAAGGGAGAGAGAGAGAGGAAGAGAGAGAAGAGAGAGAGAGAGAGAGAGAGAGAGAGAGAGAGACCTTGTCTTTAAAACCAAATACCAAACAAACAAACTGGCCATTTGGCTGGCAGAGCACGGTCCCCACAGACCCAAGGAGAAGTACTACATTCTCATTGCAGACAAGGCTAGCATTTGAGTTCTCCCTGCCACGCAACCTGGGGGCCTCTTGGCTTGAAGGTGGCACTCTGGGATGCTGTGCCTTCCACCCAGGGTGTCTGTCTTCCATTCTGTCTGCCCCTCACCCTCCTAGCCTGCCCCTTCCCCTGTGACTCCCTCCCCTGCCTTTCCACAGCTGTGAAGCAGGTTTGGCTGTTAGGGTCTTTGCCATTGTGTGAACCCAGCTTACCTGAAAGGTACCAGGAAGCCGGGAAAGTGCCAGAAATGATACCAGCAGCCCTCAGAGCCTGCTGTGCCCAGGCACTGTTCCCAGTCCTCATCACCACTCACCACTGAGGCGGCAGCCCTGTGGCTAACCCCACTTCACAGATGGTGACACTGAGACCCAGTGGATGAGACCTTGGACAGGGCTCAGTGCAGGAAGCTGAACTCTGTTTCCACACCCAGGTGGAAACTGGGACCGCGCGCTTAAGGCTGCATAGGACCCCCAGCTCATCTTGTCATTTAAAATAACATGGTGGCCCACCCCTTTAATCCCAGCATTTGGTGGCAGAGGCAGGCAGATCTCTGTGAGTCTGAGGCCAGCCTGATCTACAGAGCAAATTCCAGGATACAGTACAAGAGCAATATAGAGAAACTCTGTCTCAAACAAACAAACAAACAAAATAAATAAATAAATAAATAAAATGGTATTTCCTGAGCACTCCGTGTGATAGGCACATGCACACTATTTGTTCTTGGGTTTTTGTTTCTGTTTGGGTTTAGGTTTGGAGTTTTGAGATGGTATCTCACTAGGCTACCCCAGGCTAGACCCAAACTCAGGAACTTCCTGCCTCAGCTTCCAGGGTACTGGCATCTCAGGTGTACCATGATACCCAGCTCACCTGGTGTTGCTGAAGCCACCTGCAGTATCGTCCCTTTCATTACCTGGGGCCACCAAAATGGCTCAGCAAGTAAAGACCCTTGTCCCACAAGCCTGGGACCTGAGTTCAATCCTCAGAACCTACATAAAGGAGAGAACTCATCCCCCACCCCCAATAGTAATAAATAAAATATTAAAACATAATAGTGTTGTTGACAAAGAATCCACAGAACAAAATTTACTTTCTAAATTGTGCAAGTCAGTGTTTTCCGGCCTTCACAAAGCCATGTAACAGTCACCACACTGGAATGTTGTCATCACCCCCTAAAGAAACCATGAGCTTCTAAGCAGGCTCCTCCCTCTCCCCTCCTCCCACCTCCTGTTTCCTGTCTCTTCCTGTAAAGGATCCCACCACACAGGGCCTCTTCTGCATGTCACCAAAGACATTTCAAGTTGTAACACACATTAGTTCTTTGTTCCTTTTTGTGGCTGTATAGCATTCCCTTGTAGGAACTGAACACGCTTTTGCTTTTCCTTTCCTTGACTGATGGACACACACACACACACACACACACACACACACACACACACACACACACAGAGTTTTCTTGACTACAGATACTCAGGAATGCAATCATGGAATTTCAAGTGTATTAGTGTATTGTGGAAGGAGAACAGGGACTGAACTAAACATGGGGTCCTGTACATGCTAGGTGCGCTCCTGCTGAGCTATAATCCAGCCCTCCTTCTCCTTTTTATTTTGAGGCAGGGTCTCAGAAAGGTTCCCAGACTGGCCTTGAACTCACTCTGAAACCGAGGCAGACCCCGACCTCGTGGTCCTCCTGCCTCAGCCTCCCCAGCAGCCTGGACGACAAGCCTACACGACTGGAAGAAACTGTTTGGCCTTTTGAGGAACGTCGGAGCCATTATTTTTTAACACCCCCCCCCGCCCACCCCAGCTGTGTACAAG